TATCGCGACAAAGACTTATCTCATATATGTACGGATCGCGAATGAAAATTGATAAAACGCCCACGTATAATTCTGGCCGCGGAAGCGCCGGCGAGAATCACAGATCGCTTCTCGCACGCGGGATAAGAAAGTATACCCGTGGCGTTACGTGACTCCCGTACAGATAACAGCTTCCATACACGCTTCCCCGGAAATCTTGCAGCGCGCTTGCTTTCGCAGTTTCCACATTCGAATCCCCGTAACCACTTTCGCCTAAAGCTCTCCACTCATCGTCAGACACGACGCGGTGTTAATTTTAATGATATGCCTGAGTTTGGCGGCTCGTGAAAGCCGCTCCGTGAATACGCGTTTATACGCCGGTAATTCGTGAGTCTTCCCGTAGATCATATTTCTAAGGATGATGCGTGGGAGACCTAATTCATACGGAGGATAATCACGTAGCGCACATCGTGGTATCGTACATGCATAAAATTACGAGACAATATATAATGTAATATAATACAATATAATAGAGAAATGAGATTAATCGAGTAAATTCATGAACATTTTGGGGAAATCTTAAAATCAACTATATAATACATGATTAATCGTTTTCAATCAATTGTATATACATCTCTTTCCCAAATCTTTCTACTATATTTCTGTCAGAGATCGCGATATAACGACAAACATATATAGAGTACATACATAGAAACATATAAATTTCCCCTAACTTATAATAATAGTAATATATTTTATAGAGTAACATTTTTATATTACAATGCAACACATGATATAATATATTATAATATAATATTAGTTATATATATCATAATCTAGTTTTATTTTGTGAAGAGCAGGATTACCATAAATTCGGTTGCCATTGATCTTTGTTCCGCTACGACAATTTGCATGGTTCATATTACGGCAACGGCTCAACGACGCGTGTGCTCGCCACATTTCAAAAGCGCTAACTAGTTATAATAACCGACCGACGAACTTGCAAATATCCAGCTTGATACACTGTATCGCTAATCCATTGACGAGTCGTTCACCTAAATTACGGTCGCTGTGCGAAGCTTTACTAATATTCCCGATATATTTTAATTATTATTACCATTATTATTATTATTGTTATTACCATTATTATTATCATTTTAGCTCGTGCTAAATTTTGGTAAATTATTCAGTAAAATTAACAAAAATTTGGGGAAACAAATGTAAAATTTAAAAAAAAATCGTTTTCAATCAATTGTATATATGATACATCTCTTTCCCAAATCTTTCTACTATATTTCTGTCAGAGATCGCGATATAACGACAAACATATATAGAGTACATACATAGAAACATATAAATTTCCCCTAACTTATAATAATAGTAATATATTTTATAGAGTAACATTTTGCACACATAAATTATATTTATATATACTGATTTATATATATTTATTAAATTATGTTTATTAAAGAATATTATATTACAATGCAACACATGATATAATATATTATAATATAATATTAGTTATATATATCATAATCTAGTTTTATTTTGTGAAGAGCAGGATTACCATAAATTCGGTTGCCATTGATCTTTGTTCCGCTACGACAATTTGCATGGTTCATATTACGGCAACGGCTCAACGACGCGTGTGCTCGCCACATTTCAAAAGCGCTAACTAGTTATAATAACCGACCGACGAACTTGCAAATATCCAGCTTGATACACTGTATCGCTAATCCATTGACGAGTCGTTCACCTAAATTACGGTCGCTGTGCAAAGCTTTACTAATATTCCCGATATATTTTAATTATTATTACCATTATTATTATTATTGTTATTACCATTATTATTATCATTTTAGCTCGTGCTAAATTTTGGTAAATTATTCAGTAAAATTAACAAAAATTTGGGGAAACAAATGTAAAATTTAAAAAAATTAAAAATTATTATAAATATATTAGATTAAGTATCAGATTTCATTATTAGATGATCAGATAAAATGTAAGATTTTATTATCATTTAACTTTATTTTGCACAAAAGAAAGTAAATTTATACTTCTCACATTTTTTTCCTTCATAAAATAAATATAAACTTTCATTGAAATATACGGGGTGAATAATTTATTATATCTTTTCTACCCATCATTACGCAAGATAAATAAAAATCATAAATCGAGAAACGCATCCACTAAATGATATTACTTTTCACAAAATAAAAACATAAACTTCATTTCAGCTTCGTTTGTACGTAAATATTTAGCCGATGAGGAGTTTTTCACTCGGTTAGTTATATTGCACTTTTAGACACGATGAACGTTTAACCGACGTTTTCAAGTAACATTGTACGACGAGATCGTCGTCCTTTTGCTAGCGACAACCGATGAATTTCGCGTGTACCACGAGCGATCGTTACCTTTGATCGACCATGCGACGTTTTTTAATCGCGTTAAACGTACCATCGTTGTCCTCAATCATCCAGCTTCCACATGTCAGTCTTCCCCTCCCCCGCTTATCCCTTCATCTGCCCGCCGTACATTTTTCGTCCATCGAATACATACTCGCGCGGGCCCGACCTTCTCGAGTCTCTCTTCTCGGTGCGCGACGTCCGTTGTTTTAATTAAAACCAGATCAAAATGACGCGAAGCCTGCGCGACGGCGTTTCAACGGCGACGACTTTCAATTAATTCAATGTCGGTCTCGTCGGCCGATACGCCGATACGATGACGATCGGCGCCGACGCGATTCGATGTCCCATGAACGTTACGAAAGAACTCGCGAGGCTCTCTATTCGCGTCGTCCGAAAGTCTTGCATCATGTTACGAGAGCAGGGATGAATATTCCTCTCGCAGCGCGTATTACAATCAAGTAAAACAAAGTAATAATGGCTTGTATAAAGTAAAATAATGAAAATTGTATGCATTTTTTCAATATAACAGAGTGCTTTGAAATATCATGAAAATTTTTTTCACTATTCGACACGTACATGTTGACAAACATATCGTGTCCATATCCTGATAATTTTCGATATACATGCCCACATACACCCGATATAGTTAGATGACATTTTTTATTTAAAATAGATTTTTACATATGAAACGTTTAGTTTAATATCATACCGATTTATATTCACGGTGCAACATTATATCATAAATAGAAGAGAATGGGTGTAATGCATTTCCATTATTTTCTGCATAATCTCCAAACAAAATGTTAGGTAATTAAAAAATAATTATTATTAATGTAATTTTAATATAGAATAATTTTAATATACAATAATATACAATAATAATTTATATATATGTGCATATACACATATACCGGTGACTTCCGGTGAGATCCGGTGAAGTTGATAATTGTTTATGATCTTACCATGGGTTGTGCATGTTACATGAGCAAGTATTAAGCTACGTCTATTGATTAGATAACTATATTGTTCTTTGTCTTATATTTATATAATGCAGTTACTTGAGATGAGCACACAAGAAGAGAGTCTGCCCGCAATATTGCGACATGCAGGAAATTTACATTAACGTCTTTTAGTTCACCCCGTATACACACAATGTATGATCATAACGCATCGTATAACATTATTAATCGAAGCACGCTCAAATAATATTGCGATTTTATTATCGATTATGTGCATTTATCCTTTGACTCGTGTCAGTTTTAATAAAAACTAAAAAAAAAAGAAAAAATTATATGGTTCGTGTCAATATTAATGAAAAATATTTATCAAAGAATTCAAACACATGTGCGAAAAAGAGAGAATACAAAAAGTATTCCCTGTATATTTTGAAATTACGTCGATCATCGCGAATCTCGAAGCGTGACAATAGCTGCAATTTTACGAATATATGCACAACGAGATAGAATATTCCGATCGCAGTTATTCCCGCTAGTCATCGCGCCCCGATTGCCCGAAGCTCGTTCCTCTGACGTCGACACAATCCGGGTATGAGAGGCGAGAATCGCGCTAGTTAGCTCCGGAGATGAGATCCGGGGAACCGATTGGGTCGCGTAGCGTCTCGTCGCTTAGTATGCGTCTCCGTTTCTCGCCATTACTCGGACGATCTCTTAAATCCCGTACGCAGTTACGGCGGTCGGGCATCTCGAATACGAAATCGACCGGGTCGCATACACCACGGGGTATCCGTCGCTCCTTTTCGCGCAGTTCGATAATCAGAAAAATTGGAAGCCGATTTTTCGTAGAGCGAGAACCGAATCCCTAAAACCCTGCCCTCTCCACAATCCCTCTCCGAGCGATTCTTCGATACGCGATGGAATATTTCGCGGATCAAACTTGGAGAATTCACCGATGGATACGTTTCTGTCGACTCGAGTATTAACGACCAAAGTTGGAAAATCGAAGGCGCGATATTGGGTTAGGAGGTATCGGCAGAATTTAGAAGATAAGAGACGGTCTTTGAACGCGCGCATCCGAGTACAAAAACTATAAATAGCTTCACTCTGTTTCGAGAAAAATTAGAAGCGCGACCTTTACACCAAATTAAGCTGAAAGAAGTTTAGCAACGTTTTATTAAAATAGAAAAACTGTATATTTATATCGAAAAATGTGATGAGGATACTGTCTAAAATTAAAAGAATAAAATTTATATTGTCATTTTAATGGCAATTCTTGTTTTGATAATCTTTTCTGTTATACGTTTTTCGTCAATGTTTATTATTATATTAATGTTATCTGTAAGAACTTAGCTTCTCTCTTCACAGATAAGTAATGATCCTTCGAATTATCCATCTCAAATCCTAATATTAAAATACCTTATTTACATTCCAAATTTCTGGTGTGGAAACGGCATGTCAGAGTCTGAGGCTATTTATCAATCATATCGTTGTTCCCTTCGAGCCATTCTAGCCGTTGGATTCCGACTGAGAAAATAAACGCGCGCGTGCACACACATACACACACGCGCGCGCGCGCGCGGACACACAACTCATAACTCGAGATTTATGAATGTCCTTTCGATCGAAGCACTCAATTAGAAGGAAAAACACTCACCTTTGCTGGATATCGCCGCCGCGCCAACAAATTGTATGGCCAGGACAGCGCCAACCAGAAGGAACTTGCCGGAACCACCGCGTTTCGCCGCAACCGATCCACTTTCGACGCCAAATGATCCCTTTGATGCCCGGTGACCGCCGGTTCTCGTTCCCGTTCGAGGGTGGCACCTTCGCGACCCTCGGCCGTCATCGCAACTCCCGCAGTCTGGTCGAAACATCGTCGTTCTCGTCACAGCCATAACCGCGATCGCTTTTAAAATTCTCCTTTACGATTAGGATGTTCCGGTCGTCACAATGTCACTGCACAACGTCACTCCGAATCACTCGGGAATCAAAGATGCGACAGAGAAATCCGTCACACGACACTTCGCAGCAATCGGCTGACTCGCAATCGTCATAGATACGATCATCGACACAGTCACACGATCGGATAAATCACTTGTACACTGTGGCCCGCACTGTAAAAGGGTGCGCGACACCTTAACTGTCACGATTGACAAGCTGCGGATGACAGAGCAGGCAGTAGAATAGGCAGGTAAATCTTCTCAAACTGATTCCGATGATCAGGGATGACAGATCGTGCGTTCGTCGTTGAAACAAAACGTCTCGAATTCAGCCCTCACACTCGCAAATCCCCGCGGTGTGGCGCGATACCTGGCGCGCCTTCGCAAACCCGCTCGGTTACACCTGGAACTAACCGCGCCGGGCGTCTCCGGAGGGCAGGTCCTCCCCCATAACGACAGGTCTCGCCATACCTTGGCGCGCGGTCGAACAGGGTGCGACGTGAGAAAAAATCGAGATAAAGAGGGAAAAGAAGATCGGAAAAAAAGACCAGTTTTCCTCTCGCGAGTCTCACTGATCCCCAAAAAGCGCTCCCGGTTTCGGGACTTCGGCGAACGCGACTGCACGCGTCGCGACGCTGTTTTCCTGCGCAATGGAGAGGCAAGGCAGGGAAGGGGGAGGATATCAGCGTCGGAGGGGGAAGGAAAAGTCACTCACGCGCGTGGGCGGATCCCACCGCAAATTCTCGAGAAGGTTGATAAGGGCTGCGCGGGGGTGGCTGGAACGACGGTTGAAAAACAGTGAAACGAGAGACGCGAGTGACAGTTGCTCAAACAATACAGATAAAGAGAGAAAGAGAAAGAAAGAAGGTGAGTTTGAGAATGTATACTGAATTCTGAGAACGCGACCGAAGCCGCGTGCTGAAACCCCCAACGCAACGTGCTGCCGCGTCGAGACGCCCGGCGCTACTGAGGTGAAGGAGTAAGCCCGTTCGGGGGTTGCTGCCGTTATGCGAGGTCGGGTGGTAGAAGGGAGGTGGCAGAAGAACCAGCGTAGAGGGGTGATGGTAGCACGGCGCGCCTCGTCGGATATTCTCGTCTCTCTCCGGTTCTGCTCTCTCTTTCTCTTTTTTCTTCTCTTTTCTCTTTTCCTCTCTCTCTCTTTCGCACTCCTTTGCCCATTTTTCTACGCTCTCCTTTTTGTTATATATATATATATATATATATAGAATTTTATTTTCTCTCAGATTTAATCTTATTTTATTGCGCGTAAAATTATTTATATTACTCGTGTGGCTTGTTCCGTTCTCGTGTTCTTCCTTATGTATTCGTTGCTCGCTATTTTCTTCTCTCTGTTACGTGCCTGTTATCGTTCGTATTGTTCTCTGCTTATTGCTCCTAAGGAATTTGATCCTGGGATAGTTAGCAAACTCTTCGCTCTCTATTTTATTCTCGCTTGCGAAGCAAAACACGATACAAAACAACGCGTTGCACCGTTAGAAAAAATTTTCCTATCGTGTAGCGTATAACGCTTTGGAAACAAACGATTCGATTAGAAGCGAATTAACGAATCGCGAGATGGATCGCTTTACGTTTTGTGAACAAAGTTACATAAATTGGCCAGAATGCATGGCATTCGTGCGCGTACAAGCCCCCCGTGATTGTTTCACATATTATTATTTTCACTCGTGAGCGGAATTCTCGATCGAAAACCGGCTCACAAAATTAATGCGCGACAATGTTAGCCGCATAGAAAATTACCGAGTAATTCGATGGCAACGATTGTTACACCGGATGCCTTTTATCGTGATTGACAGTCCCTCTTCCCTTTCGCGACGTAACCGTGTAACATAGTTGATAATTAATGATATTTTTAATAACATAATTTTTAATTAATAATATTTGAATTAATAAATTTGATAGAAATTTTAATTAAATACATGACAGATACAAAAAGCGGAAAATGAAACGACGCGCGATCCATGACGGATTCGATAACTGTTGATGGTCGTTCGAGAGAGCCCACGCACTTGCGTAATTTTTACTGATATCCGTGATAACGATATCATTGTGTCAACCGACGAAAAAGTAACGAGGGAGTGATCAGGGAGAGATCGAAATTGGATTATCGGTATCTGATCAATCGACAATCACGTCTGGCTACGAACGTTCACGCGTAGTCATCGTGTATACACTGCAATGTTGACATGTATCGGACGGATAGCAGATAGATCACTAATTTCGCTCCTCGAGTTTGATTCGCATCTCGAGTTCGAGCATGAATAAACAACGTTCGTATGAGCGATTATGATCATCAGTTAAACGTCTCGTAATAAGCTACATCAATCACAAGTGTAAAATGTCGACTATGTGTGACACATTTTTTAAATAGACTGAATAAACTACTTGTGAATTACCGAGTAATTCGATGGCAACGATTGTTACACCGGATGCCTTTTATCGTGATTGACAGTCCCTCTTCCCTTTCGCGACGTAACCGTGTAACATAGTTGATAATTAATGATATTTTTAATAACATAATTTTTAATTAATAATATTTGAATTAATAAATTTGATAGAAATTTTAATTAAATACATGACAGATACAAAAAGCGGAAAATGAAACGACGCGCGATCCATGACGGATTCGATAACTGTTGATGGTCGTTCGAGAGAGCCCACGCACTTGCGTAATTTTTACTGATATCCGTGATAACGATATCATTGTGTCAACCGACGAAAAAGTAACGAGGGAGTGATCAGGGAGAGATCGAAATTGGATTATCGGTATCTGATCAATCGACAATCACGTCTGGCTACGAACGTTCACGCGTAGTCATCGTGTATACACTGCAATGTTGACATGTATCGGACGGATAGCAGATAGATCACTAATTTCGCTCCTCGAGTTTGATTCGCATCTCGAGTTCGAGCATGAATAAACAACGTTCGTATGAGCGATTATGATCATCAGTTAAACGTCTCGTAATAAGCTACATCAATCACAAGTGTAAAATGTCGACTATGTGTGACACATTTTTTAAATAGACTGAATAAACTACTTGTTCTTAGAGTATATTTGTATTCCATATTTTTCGTATATCAATAATTTATAAAAAAAGAGAGAGAAATTTAAAATGTTGTCAGCCCGAAATTATATATATATATGGTATGTATGATATATCTACTAAATGAAAAAATTATCCTTATCTTTAAAATAGATTTAATTATGTAAATACCTAGAATTACTGTATGTTTATTATTTAGATACCTATTAAGAAATATTTTCATCAATAACAGCGACAAAGTGAGGGAACCACGTTTAATTGTTGAGCTCTAATTTGTTTTATTTTTTAATTAGTATTTTATACTTTTAGAGAGTAGATGAAAGATCGTTGAGAGAATCAAGAAAAGAAAGATTCATTAACATACAGCGCGAATATATTTGTCAATTCTGAATACATTTCCAAGCAAACAAGACGAGTTCTCTAATGATTCTCTCTGGGGGAGAAAACATTGGAAATGATTCCCATGTCGTTTGTTACCGTTTCAAATATTAAAGCGTCCAATTAGTCCAATGGTAACGCGAACTTGGGAAACTGCCGTCTACTCGGCCAGTGCATTAAGCTTTGTCCGCGTGCTACAAGCATTGCGGTCGCGAGCGCAGAACCGAAAGAACAGAACAAACGCTGACAGCGCATACGGGCTGCGTCAGAAATTTCATATTCTGATTTCTCTAAATTAAACAAACGAAATTTAAAACCTGGGAAACACCGACTATTCCATTGTTGAGTCAATGATTATTTTCTTTTTAATTATAAACGATTAAAAATTGTCATCAGAAAGCTTTAAAAGGAAAAAAAAGTAACAAAAAGTAATCTATATTCCTTAATCAAAATTTCAGAATTTGGAATTTTTTTTCTCTATATATTTAAAGTTTATCAAGATATTTTTAATAAATATCTCTCAAAAGTTCAAATGTATCTAATGAAGGAAAATAAAAGAAAGATTATTATGTGAAAAATTTTAAGACTAGGATTTGATAATAAGTTTTTAAAGTATAATATCGTGCAACTTTTGAAATACTTTGTATTTCGGGATATACATGGGACGACATCCGATCTCACGAAAAATCAAAACTCGAGGACGTATATGCTTTACCAGAGGTTAATGCTCGTTGTCCGTTTCCGCCATGCCGCGGGAAACGTTAATTCACGCCGTCGTATCTGTCGTAGAGATGCCGCGGCAGTCTCCGCGGAGCATAGAAAAGAGGAATGAAATACATTATATGAGAGAAACTCTACGGCCGTAGATTGGAACGGACGACGAATATCGTGGCCGAAAAAGCGTGCCGTCACAAACACGCATACACGCCGCTCTCGTCCAGTTACATCGATAAATATAATATTCTTCACTTTATAACGAATTTTTTTTAAATGTATTACAATGAAACGCTCTTTCGGACAGATTAATATCTATAGATGCCGGACGATATCTTTTTAGTATCTATATTTATCAAATACTAATCTAATATTTTCGTCAATATTTTGTCTGTTTCTACTCGAATATCTTTATTCATCATCTGACTGACTCTATTCGTCTGTTTTCACTGTCCGTACTTTATCTGGCAAAAGAAAAAAAATTTAATTGAGGCATTAAATTTTTCAGAGAATTTATGGGTAAATAAAATAACGATGAATCTTGAGCATCTTGTATAATACATTAGACGCGAGATAGTTAGTTAGAAGCGATATTGTTAAATGCTTCTCTTGAATCTTGAATGTACTAAAATATCAACGGTTCTGAAAGTCAAGAAAATGAAGCGTGACGATGATAGAATTGATAATTTTCTTTCTATTTTTTTTTTTTTTTTTAACAACGAGTACAAAGCAAAAAACGCGGGAATTTCTCTCCTTTTTCGCAAAAGTGAAAGAAAATGCGCGCATGAGATTTTTATACGACGCGTAAACTCGGTCGACGCAAGGTGCGTCACAACGTTGAAAGTTCAAAAGTTACACGTCGTTGCACGCCGATTCGCGTAGACATAATCAACTGTCGAGGCGAGAAAAACGCGCAATATAACTTTGCGAAAGAAGCGACGATCGATTCTGAATAACTTAAGGATCTCTCAGGAATCCTTTACAGGGGAAGAAGGGAGAGCGCGCACACCGTTGAAGTTTTGTCTGCAACTTCAAAAGACTTCGCACCAACGCCAATCGAGCGCAAAGTGAGCTTCACGAGCGTTACTTTCTCGCGCTTATCGTTGCGAGAATCACTTCTTTTCTTTTATTCGAATATAATGGAATTTTCGCGGAGTAATTTTTAAGCGAAGACGAAATGCTTCCAGTGTTTTAATTTAGCACGTTCGCAAAGTTTTTGATTCGAAATACTCTTGAATTGTAATAATTGAATTATACGGTGTTATTAGGCTCTTCATATTATGTTCACATGTCTAACATTAATTATAAAATCGCGCATTTAATTGCCTGCGTCCGGTTATTTTATTGTTAATTTAATTTAATCGCTTAATACGATCACGTGCACGCGTGCATCCATTGGCCAATGCGGCGTGTAAATCGCTGAAAATTTGTAAATACCGCATTCAATTACGCGCATCAATTATTTTCTAATCAAATGGTCACATAAATAATATTTACAAATAATAATACGCGCGTAACATTTTAATGCGAATTAAAATGCATCAGTAATGACCGGAAATAACTGGTCGGCAATATTATTTCGATGGAGATATCCATCAGCGGTGCCGCTAATGAAAAGCTAATTAACAACTATTTCCGCGCGCAATCTACGATGCGGCGGAGAAACGAAGTCGCCAATTTTTATCTACTCTATATTTGATTTGGCCACGGGTTCTTTAATAAGTTTCGTCAACTCGCTAATAGCCAATTACGTGTCATTCTGCAAAGTACGAAAATGGAAAATATTTCGAATTGACTCAATATAT